TTTAGTAAAATTTGTAAGAAAAAGTAAAATAAGTAAATTTCAAGTGGAAAAATATCTAAAAAAATGAAAAATTCTTGAAATTCGCTATTTTTGGTCGACAATTCGATCGTTTTGGATTTATCTAGGAAACGTTATATCTTTCACATTTTGAACTAGCAAATACATTTTTGCAAAATTTTTCTGTTTATATGACAACAAAAGTTCGATTCTAAAGAAAAAAGCTCGCCCCCCCGATGATGCGAAAGTACCTAATTTTAATATCATTTTTAAGGTTGGCTACGATGTTTAAAGCTACCTGTAAATTGTGAAAATAGAACATAGCCCTCTTGCTCGTCAAATACGACACCCTTTGATGGATGATAAGAGTAGAGGAAGAAAGAACATCTACAATTTAGCGACTAGTGGGCTAAAACTGTAGAAAACTTACTCCAAGCGTTCCCGCGGGTATTTTCCGCTGACTTGGCAAGGTATCGCAAACTCGACCTCGTGCAGAAAATCGACGGCTGCTTTCTAGAGCACTTCGGTTCTGGTACGTTAACGGGGGGGGGCTAGCTTGCTATATTCAACATAACCTCGATAATAAATGAGAGATTTTATACAGGTTTCTTTACCTGGAAGTGATTTGCATCATCAACGTGTAACACGGCAGTAACTTTTGGAGTTTTCGACGGCTGTAGGACCTTGTGGATTCCGCTATAAAAAGATGGGTACGGGTCTGTTAACGAGTGGGGCACCTAACTATTTTTACGGCTTTTTTGGTAATTGAAAATTTATAAAAATTAAGTAATTTAGCAAAAAAGTTGATTTTTGTTAAAGATTGTCCGAAAATGAGCAAAAAAATTCATTTTAGTACTCAAAAACTATTAAAACCACCAAATTCCCAGAAAAACGTAAAAGAATCGGCTAGATTGCCCCCCCGGCTAACAGCCCAGTACCAAAAAGGTTCTGTAAAAAGTACGAAATTTACTAACGACATTTGCTGAACGATCGTCGGCCTCCAAATCTTCCAAAAACTTGATAGAAGTATGCGTTTTTGGCCGGATTCGTCGGCCGGGTTCCAGCCAAGACGATCGTCTACCCAACGCTGCAATAAAAGAGAATAGAAATTACATAAAATAAAGCAAGCTATAAAGTATATAATCTAATAGATAAAATATATAAATTAGTAAAATGTAAAATTACATAAAACAGTGTTCCATGGAATTTCAGGGTGGCCACATCGCCTTTTGGGACGGCCAGGTGGGTGCAGTGGAGTTGTAGGTTTACCTGTAAAGATATAAAAAGATTACGAAAAATAGAATATTTCTTCTCTTACCACCACGGGTTTTCCGGCTCCCTGCGGCGATGGGGGTGTCTAGAAAGCAAAAGTATAGAAAAAAATTAAAAAAACGAACCTTCGAATCGTAGTCGGTAAAGAGACGTTTTTCGAGCTTTGACACTTCGAGTTGATAGTCGCTGATGTTTGATTCTGCAAAAAAAACCTTTAGAAAACTGGATAGGGTTTAACCCAAAAATGCGATACCTTTAGCTATAGTGTAATGAAAAGCATATAGCAACGAGAAAATAATCAATAGCCGTGCCATATCGTCAATAGTTTCCTAGTGTTCCTAGCACCATTCCATCATAAACAGTCGCAGAATCGCGGGGGAGGTGTAATTTGATAGTCTATACAAAAGGTATTGGATAACCTAGACGACACGCTAAAGAAAATCTATCATCGTTTTAATGGGTAATTAAAACTTATTATTATTAATTCTATTTCGTTATATTGGTTTTTGCTAGCCACTTAATATCCAAATTTATATAAAAATTGCTTGTGTGTAAAAATAGTGTCAGCTTTTATGTAAAATTAAACCTTTTTTGCTTAAATTAAGCTAGATTCTGAGCGGGTATTCTCCTTTACTAGCCCTTTCTTTTTATTTCATGCGTTAAAACTATTAAATTAGATGTATTTATACAAAATGTAAAAATTCGAAGTTAAAATCATAGATTATAAAATCACAAAGCTATTACTCGGAAAATTTTTTTGATAACTTTTAAATGTTTTCCAGGTTTGTTATTTGATTTTAATTTTTTTATTAATCTTTTTAGCAAATTCGCTACTGGAATATTAGCGTATCTTGCTTACAAGGAGACGTTTTTGAGTGTCGTCGGGACTTTGGCACCGGACCAAGCCTATCTTGTGCAGAATTTTACGCTGATTCCGAATATGGCAACCGTTTTTGCGGAATAGCCATTTCTCGAAAGTTATGAACGATTTAAACGTCAAAACAGCACAAAATCGGCTACTTTCAATAGTCATAGAAGGCTTCTAAATAGGTTTTAGACAAAACCAGATAGTACATCTTGTTCAGAAAAAAATTCTCTATAAAATGTACCATCTTTTCCAAAATCATTGAAAAGTTGGAAAAATTTGATTAATTGGGAGGCCCCTAATTTTACAAAAATTTTCAAAATTCCAGCATTTTTGAGTTAAGTAGCTTATTTTATAGAGAATTTTTTTTCTGAACAAGATGCACTATCTGGTTTTGCCTAAAACCTATTCCGACGTCTTTTATGACTAACGGAAGTAGCCGATTTTGGACTGTTTTGAAGTTTAAATCGTTCATAACTTTCGAGAAATGGCTATTCCGCAAAAACGGTTACCATATCCGGAATCAGCGTAAAATTCTGCACAAGATAGGCTTGGTCCGGTGCCAAAGTCCCGACGACACTCAAAAACGTCTCCTTGTTAGCAAATTCGCGACAGGACTACTACCAGATGAGGATGTGTGCTATCTAGCCCATACCTATCTACCAAACTACCGATTAATAGTCCATTCTACAGTATTTTTAGTAATCTTTAATCACGAATAAGCCCTATCAAAATTTTTAATTTCGGGCAATTTTGAAAAATTTTGACGTTAATGTCGGCATTTTTCGAAAATTTTCATTTTTGTAGGAACTTGCTATATTTAAAAACGGTATAAAAGCTGCATGAATGGTGCCTATTTTATTATTAGCTATTTATTTATGAGCTATTTATTATTATTATACTTCACCCCCCTGACAGGGCATAGGCCAAAGTGGCTCACCCCCCGCTAACAGCTCAGTGCCGAAAATTGATTCCAGATCTCGTTTTCATATAGCAAAAGCCCTTCTTTTTGCATCTCCTCCTCCCCAAAGTACCATCTTTGCTTACTCATTTTGGAGGGAGAACCGGGGAGGGGAACTTGACTGGAGAAATGGTTTCAGAGAGTTTTCAGAGGTTTTCAAATGTTTTGTTCGTTAATAATTGTTCATAATGCTCACAAGGGAACCTCAAGTTGGCACGGTGGAATTTCGAAAAACGCTCGCGGCTACCCCTAGGTTTTCGACTATGGCGATTCCAACGGTCCAGTCAGAATTTCCTAAATGGGCCACTGGACAGAGATACAGCACTTCCGGAAAATGATGATTTACATCCGAAAAATTAGCATTAGCGATAGGTTTATGAGGCTCTTCCATCACTATGGACTCACCAGTTGAGTGGCCGAGTGGTAAGCGACTCGCTTGATAGGATATTGACGAGGGTTCGAATCCGCTCACGATTTTTTATTTTGCTTTTTGACCGGAACTTCCTGCCCAACTCTAACTTTTGGTTTTTGCTATAAGAAAATTTTTTGGTTATGGTTCCAGGCTGACAACTCCAAAGAAGCCTCAAAACTTCGCAAAAATTATGCGAACAGCTGGGTGTTCCCATCTCCGTTTTTTACCATGAGTCACTCGGATGAAATTTTTAGCATTTTTTGGTTTCGCCAACGCTTTTAGACATTTCAAAAACAGAACGAATTTTCGAAAAAAGTAACCAAAACTTGGAGTTGGGCAGAAAGTTCCGGTCAAAAAGCAAAATAAAAAATCGTGAGCGGATTCGAACCCTCGTCAATATCCTATCAAGCGAGTCGCTTACCACTCGGCCACTCAACCGGTGATTCCATAGCAATGGGAGAGCCTCATAAACCTACCGCAAATGCTAATTTTTCGGATGTAAATCATCATTTTCCGGAAGCGCTGTATCTCTGTCCAGAGGCCCATTTAGGAAATTCTGACTGGACCGTTGGAATCGCCATAGTCGAAAACCTAGGGGTAGCCGCGAGCGTTTTTCGAAATTCCACCGTGCCAACTTGAGGTTCCCTTGTCAGTTGCTAATTTTCTCAATGGCCCGCTGGCGGCGGATCGTTTCAATAGCTCTTTGTGAGGGCTGAGCTGGAAACGCCCATTAACCTGCACGGGCACATAAATCGTTTATCAGACCCAGTCACTCGCATCCCTTCTGAAATTCATGATAAAAACGAAATCGATTATTGTAGGGGTTTGCCCAAATGTCTTCAAACTCAGACCCCCCTTTTGGCCGTTCGTACCTGCAAGCCGTTGACCGTCATGCGCTTGTATCAATTTAGAAAAGTCAGAAATTAGAAACTGAACAAATTCTGGCTGGTTGCATTGCAAATCTAGGCAAAAAGTAAATTAAAAACTCCCCATTGCAAACCAGAAAAGCATTCGAGATTCTCTGATAAATCTGTCACCCCAGTCATTAATTATGAAAATGTTTTTTGTAAATAAATAAAACCTATAAACTTTTGGATCGTGGATCCATTTGGACCCGCTCGCCCCTCGGACCCGTCTGGCGCCGGACTAGTTTGGACCCGCTTGACACTCGGTAATTTCCGTTCATAATTAATCCAAAATTTCATCCTCTAGGGATTCAAACCGAGGATGACCAGATCCTAGTGTAACCTACCTGCATTATTAGACCAGGGTCGAAAGGCCAATCATATTACTCCTTTTAGCTAAACTCCAAATTGGAGTAACTATCACTCCAACTCCAAATTGGAGTAACTGATAATTATTCTCACTAACATGATTTAACTCAATATTAAACAAATATATTACCATTTTCTTTTATTTGCTAAAATTCCGCTTTTGCCCTCCTGTTGGACATCACACAGTTCGGCATAGGACAATTTTAGGTTTGCTAATAGATGGACGCCCGGTTCAATCCAGATCAAGATAATGTTGACTGGTCTCTCAGTGCTATCATGTATGGCAGTGTTTTTTTTTGCTTGTATGTATTTAATTTAGCGAAGCTGTGAAAGCTCTATTGCGATATCTTGCAATTCGGGCCCTACGATGGTTTCAGCGTCAATTTGGCTGGTTGAAATGGCGGGGAAGAATCACCATGCCCCCAATTCGACCCCGACGCCATGCGATTACTATTGAAGTAATCTTCCAAGATACTGCTCCAAACAGTCGGAAGGTGGTTTCGAATGTTAAGATGTTGTAATGAGCTCGTACAGGAACAAAATTTGAGCCGAACATCTCGCAGGGAAACGGACGCTTGTCCTCCACTGGTATCCGAGGAGGGCCGAAACAGCGTTGAAAGCCCCAGGGAGCAATTACCTTCGAAGTAAGCATAATTTTGTTGAAGATAGCGCAGAGCTGGTGCCAAAGTAGATTTATGAACCCAACTTTGTAGGGGTATGAATGAAATTTATGGCGGGTCATAAAATTATTCAACACACCTCAGCACACACTCTTCAAATTACGAGTTCTAGTTCGTGGTTTTCTGACTTTGTTTAGCCTAACCTCAATTGTAAGCTATAGACTGTTTTTATACTGTTTAGATTTCATAATCGCGGTTACTAAAAACAAAAAGGTTAAAGAACGGACGAGGCATTTTTCATACCCTATACCTTTTGGACCAAAAAAATCGAAGAACTATTTTTTTCTGGAAAAACTTGAATATCTTTCAGACATGGCAATCGGCCGGGCCGCGCGGCTTTTTCGGCCGCAAAAATTAGAATGCGGCCGGGCCGCGCGGCTTGGCCGCACTTCCGGCGCGGCCGCGGCTTTTTTCCGTTTTGAGGCCGCACGGCGGCCAAGCCGCGCGGCTTTTGAGGCCGCATCCAAATGAGTTTTGAGTACTTCCGGCACGTAAATCAGAGATGCAATGCGTATTTAGCCTGCTAGCGAGGAATATCCATACTCGACAACCTTAATTTTCTCATTTCCATTCCGATTTGGCATGAAATTCGCGGTTTCTCGATATGTCAATGAGCCACTTCCGGTTTGCGGCTTGGCCGCGGCGGCCCGGCCGAGCCGCGATGAAAATGCGGCTCGGCCGCGAAGCCGCATTTCCGGAAGTAACTAATTACTGCGGCTCGTAGGGGGCCGCGTTTTTTATGGAAATTAGGCCGCCGGCCCGGCCGCGCGGCTCGGCCGATCGGAATTGCCATGTCTGATATCTTTGACGCACTTTTCTTACCTAAAAAGGCCTAAAATGCTATTACTATAAGGGTTCTGAACTATTAGCGGAGGGATTTTAACAGGGCGAAACCAATTTCTATTTTTCCACCTATACCTGTTGATGATATATTATGTGTTTTTATCGTGTTTATGGTATCTTTGGTCGGTAGACGTTATAATTTTTTTTGGAAATTCGAAAATTTTGACCTTGTCTTTTTTTCATACATTTTTGATCAAAAAGTCAACAATTTTCGAAAATTTTTATTGTTTTTATATATAAAAACTATGTGTGAAATTATTTATATTTTGTTATAAATCCGTAGAGAATCACAATGGAAAATTTTGTTCCCCCGCTAAAAAGCCCCCCGCTAACGGTCCAGAACCCAAATAATAATTCTCCTCCTACGGGACGGGAAAAATAGGAAAAAAATAAATGAACCTGCGCATAAGCCTAGCTTCCAGATTTGAGACCGATTTTGATAACAAAAGCGTCATCGGTCGAGGAGGCTTTGGATTGGTATTTTCTGCCAGAAACATTATCGATGAGCACTTCTATGCTATCAAGCAAATTCCTGTCGTTGACGAGCCAAATGCCAGGGAACGTGCACGGAGTGAGGTAAGCTGCAAGAATACACTTGGCTTTTGTTGCGCGGGAAGAAAATATTCAGCCTTCGAACATTGGGTCGGCGTGTCCGGCTGCTTATGTTCATTTTTCCTAAGATTCACATTTCCTAAAATTTGTCATGTGAATAGGGATGCGTAAAAATATAAAAAAAGACCAAATGCTGTCGTTTTAGCATACTAACGCCATTCGTTGGCATTTAATAAACTTTTTTCTTATCTTCATTGAGACTTTTCGCTTCCAATATCGCCAGATCTAGGCTAAACGTACCACTAAAAGACCTCCTATGACATTGCTAAGCATATCTGAATTTATTAGAAAAAAAAATCGTCGTGGATCATACTCAACTGAGGCCTTTTCGATATTTAGCCGGTTTTTGGAAAAAAGGAACTTTAGGAAAAATGATCTGAGAAAAAATGATATTTCGGAAAAATCAATTAAGAAAAATGAGTTTAGTGGGTACACATAGGATAACGGGGGGGGGATAAAATAACGGGGGGGCACTCATTATTATCAATTTGCAATTACTGAGGGATTTTGCGAGTGCCATTCGATAGAGCGTCGAAAAATATACTAAGAGAATTAATTTGAGCCCAAAATAATGTAACGGAAATTTTTTTTTGAATAAACAAAAATTGAGGAAAATCTATGGGCAGCACATAGGATAACGGGGGGAAGTCAAATTTTCGCAATTTTCGAAATTTTCGGTATTTTGAAAACGTCATTCGATAAAGCGTCGAAAACTGCCCTAGGAGAATTAATTTCAGCCCGAAATAATGTAGATTAAATTTTTTATCGAATAAACAAAAATTGATCAAAATCCATGGGCAGCACATAGGATAACGGGGGGGGGAGCCAAATTTTTGAGATTTTCGATATTTTGAAAACGCGAATCTATAGAACATCAAAAATTATACTAAGAGATTTTTTTACAACGCGAAAAAATGTCTTATAAAAGTTTTATAGCGAAAAACTATTTTTGAAAACTATGGGCAGCACATAGGATAACGGGGGGAAATTTCGGCGTTTTGAATATTTTCGATATTTTGAAAATGCCATTCGATAGAGGACCGAAAAATATACTAAGAGCTTTTTTACAGCCCGAAAAAAGCATATTTAAAAATACTTTTATCATATAAAAAGTTTGAGTGCCCCCCCCCGTTATTCCCCCCGTTATCCTATGTGTACCGTTTAGTGACAGTAATTCGACATTAATTCGTGTCCGGCATAACTTCATGTTCTTGTTTCAGGTATTAGCCATGGCCAGACTTAGTCACCCAGGCATCGTTCGGTATTTTGGATCCTGGGTAGAGACTGCGTCTGAGAACCGGCAGGTACCCAAAGAATCCAAAGTCACAAGTTATTGTAGGAAGAAAACAAAGAACAATCGCGAGCGCAGGAGGCCGAGAACAGCGTAGCTCAAGCGTCTGAAGACCAAATCGAGGCCGTAACAGCTGACTACAACGGTGTGGTTTTTCTTCGTGAACGGTCAAGTGCTCAGTTACTTCCAACCCGGAAACACTGATTGAATTTCGCCCATCCGCTACTCCCGGTTTCGATCGTCGATCAACCACCACATCGCCCAAGCAGCCGCATGTGCCCTACGTCTATTACTATATTCAGATGGAGGTATCGAAGCCCCACCCCTTGGCTTCTCCGACATAATTGCAGCTCATGGAAACTACACTAGCTGATTGGCTGGATGAGAACCGGTCGATCCAAAGCAGAACTGTAGATCGCATGAAGAAATGGTTTCTACAAATCCTCGAGGCTACCGCTTATATGCATGATAACGGAATTGTGCACCGAGATCTCAAGGTAAGGACTGGATCTCCAATATTGAAGATGACGCTGTTATTGCTCATGACGTTTTAAGGTCGGCATTTTCAAATTAATGGGTGCTGCTGAAAGGCCATCCACGAGCCACTCGGCCATTATGGCTGGGCAGTTTTTCACCTCCATTTTTAACATCATCTGAAAGATCATGGTCGGATTAGTAGGAATCATACCCTAACATCTTGAAGGGAACCTAAGCTATCGCAGCAGGTGCAAAAATAAATTATCCTGCTATCCCGCTATGTATAAACGTAAAAAAACAAATATGCTATATTCCTCCGTTCGGACCATTTTTGATCTTGGTATATTTTGCAAAACAGTCACCAAAAACGTATTTTCTGAAGATTTTAGCTTAGTTGGCGCAGTAGCTTTCGCGATAAGTTCTTTACTTTGACTTTGACGGACGATTTAACCCGGAATATTCCTTTTAAATGGCTAAAGAAATTGCAATCCTACAAATTCGACTATCGGGGTTAGCGGGCGTAGCCCGCTAACCCCTTTTGGTTTGAGGTACCCCCCCCCATACGACTCTTTTGGGGTCCTTTTCCGGATTTAAAAAAGAACCAAGCATCGGATCGCAAAACTGAATACACCATCGGAACCGGCGACACTTTTTGCATACTATAAGCTTTTAAAAATTGAAAAAGAGTGAAATTTCGAATTTTAACAGCCGATTTAAATTGCGTTTCGAGGGGGGGGGGGGGGGGGGGGTCTGCGTTTGTTTGTATGTATGTATGTATGTATGCCACAAAACCTTTGTAGTCGTCAAAAAGTGCCTTCCCATCATCCGTTTGGGCTAAGATTTTTTACAGTTATTGGGTCAATGATAATCTCGGACCGCAACAAGAGTTTTTTTCAAAATAGGCTTTAAAAAATTTTATATTTAATTTTTAAGTTTAAAAGCTAAATCGCGGTCAAAACAATGGTTAGTGATGTCCGTTTGGGCTGAAATTTTGCTGAAATATGCATTAGACCATGCCGGAATAAGTAAAGAAGAAATTGCAACGAAAGAATGCTTCTTCTCTGAGATATTATAACTTTAAACCTTCGCCATACGGGGCGCCACCCTCCCCTTTGGCGGCCCCAGTCCCGGGTCAGGGCGGGCGGGTCTAGCTTCCCCAAGACAGGCCACCAGTCTCCCCGTTGGCCTAGTGGTTAGCACGCTTTACTGGGAAGACTTGGCTCCTGAGTTCGAACCCCACCCGAAGCATGGTTTTTGCCGATTGGCCCCCGTGCATCCTTATGATTCCTAGTGCCGTCACAAAGCGCCGCAGGCAAAATTTTTTTGAAGTTTTGCGTACAAGGGTTCATCTGAATAAGTATTCCTTGGCTTATTTTACGATCTTAACAATAATATTGAGGCAAAAAGGGCTAAATTCTCTCTAAGGCTAAAAAGAGTCTTTTTAAAAAAGGCTTTTGGTTTTCGCAAAAAGAGACGAATTCTCGTGGCAACAAAAAGTGCTAAATTCCTTTCAAACTCTTAAAAATGCCACAAAATGTGGGATCAACCAAAAGTTGCTGGCACCTTATTAAAATGGACAGATCTAGTTTCTAGCGGTTTCGGCTTGCAAATAATTTCTGTATTATGATCTATTTGCACTTTCTTAAAATTATTCTGTGGACCTGACCTGTGATCTGGGATGGTACCGAGTTTATTAAGGTTTTAAGTAACCAGCAACTTTTTGTTGTTCCCGCATTTTGTGGCATTTTTAAGAGTTTGAAAGGAATTTAGCACTTTTTGTTGCCACGAGAATTCGTCTCTTTTTGCGAAAACCAAAAGCCTTTTTTAAAAAGACGCTTTTTAGCCTTACTGTAACCGTTTTTTGTTGACCGTGGGATTTCGATACGTGAGATAGCACATTTTGTGCAGAATTTTTCGCTGATTCCGAATCCGTTTTCAAAAGTTGCAGAACCCCTCTAGATAAAAAGTTACAGCCGGTTTTCTACCCCAAATGACCGAAAATTACAAACTTTAAATCCTTATAAAAAACTCGTGGAACATTTTGTGGGATAAAATACAGCACTCCTAGGGGTAAAAAAACGTGCTCTTTCGAATGGACTACCTCACGAACCCGTAGCTCAAAATTCATGAAAAAAAGTTTTTCGGTGGAAGAATGCCCTGGATGGCCAATTTTTGAAATTTTGTGAATTTTGAGCTACGGGTTCGTGAGGTAGCCCATTCGAAAGAGCACGTTTTTTTACCCCTAGGAGTGCTGTATTTTATCCCACAAAATGTTCCACGAGTTTTTTATAAGGATTTAAAGTTTGTAATTTTCGGTCATTTGGGGTAGAAAACCGGCTGTAACTTTTTATCTAGAGGGGTTCTGCAACTTTTGAAAACGGATTCGGAATCAGCTAAAAATTCTGCACAAAATGTGCTATCTCACGTATCGAAATCCCACGGTCAACAAAAAACGGTTACAGTAAGGCTAAAGAGATCTTTTTAAAAAGGCTTTGGTTTTCACCAAAAAAAGAGACAATTCTCGTGGCAACAAAAAGTGCTAAATTCCTTTCAAACTCTTAAAATGCCACAAAATGTGGGATCAACCAAAAGTTGCTGGGGGCGGGAGACCTTGACAAAATTGGACAGATCTAGTTTCTAGCGGTTTCCGGCTTGCAACAATAATTTCTGTATTATGATCTATTTGCACTTTTTTCTTAAGGGGAAAATTATTCTGTGGAACCTGACCTGTGATCTGGGATGTTTTCCCGAGTTTATTAAGGTTTTAAGTAACCAGCAACTTTTTGTTGTTCCGGCATTTGTGGCATTTTCAAGAGTTTGAAAGGAATTTAGCACTTTTATGCCATAAGATTCGTCTCTTTTTGCGAAAACCAAAAGCCCTTCTAAAAAGACGCTTTTTAAACTTCCTGCTTATCAAGTTTTTTGTTGACCGTGGGATTTCCATTCGTGAGATAGCACATTTGTTGCAGGCTTTTCGCTGATTCCGAGTCAATTTTCAAAAGTTGCCAGGACCCCTCTAGATAAAAGTTAGAGCCAGTTTTCTACCCCAGATGACTGAAAATTACTAACTTTAAATCCTTATAAAAACTCGTGGAACATTTTGTGGGATAAAATACAGCACTCCTAGGGGTAAAAAAACGTGCGTCTTTCGGATGGACTACCTCCTGACCCCCGTAGCTCAAAATTCATGAAAAAAAGTTTTTCGGTGGAAGAATGCCCTGGATGGCCAATTTTGAAATTTTGTGAATTTTGAGCTACGGGTTCGTGAGGTAGCCCATTCGAAAGAGCACGTTTTTACCCCTAGGATTGCTGTATTTCATCCCCACAAAAATGTTCCAGGTTTCTTAAGGATTTAAAGTTTGTAATTTTCGGTCATTTGGGGTAGAAAACCGGCTGTAACTTTTTATCTAGAGGGGTTCTGCAACTTTTGAAAACGGATTCGGAATCAGCTAAAATTCTGCACAAAATGTGCTATCTCACGTATCGAAATCCCACGGTCAACAAAAAACGGTTACAGTTAGAGATTCTCTTTGAGTCGACGGCAAAAAAATTGGTCAGAGGACCAACTGGATCGAAGAAATTGTAGCAGGTCATTTTTGGTCTTCTTGCAATCGGCCTTTTAACGCACAATGCTGCTTTAAACTTCAAGATTTTTATGATTCTGCAATACACCGATATTTAGCCAGCAAATATTCTCTTTGTGATGGGAGGAAAGAAGAGCGTGCTGAAAATCAGTGATATGGGGTTGGTATCCATCATCCCTGCCGTCGACAACGCTTCAGGTTGGCGATCTGCGGGGTTCAAAAAACATCCGGCTCTAATCGGATTTAACTTTTTTAAAAATCAAATATTGAATGCCGATATAAGCTTTCGAATTTCGATGATATGATATTAAATATAGTTATATTAGAGAAAAGAGAGAGAGAGAGAGAGAGAGAGAGAGAGAAAGGAAAGTGAAAGAGAAGAGGGAGGAGGGAGAGAGGAAGAGAGAGAGAGAGAGAGAGAGAGAGAGAGAGACGAGGCTTTTACTACCCCAGAGTGATGCTTTTTGTGACGGCAGACATTGGGTCAAAGACAAGCTCCATTTGCAGTAGGACCACAAACCACTATGTTGACGACCGATATAGGTACCAGAGCTTATATGAGCCCCGAGCAAGTAAGTGTTTCTTCAGCTACCTCTAGGAAGAATTAGATCGCAGGCAAAGCCTACACTTCGAAAATCGATGTGTTTGCTCTTGGGTTGATCCTAACCGAAATGATTTTGCCATTCGCTACGCATTCTGAACGAAATCCTGTGCTGGAGGGGTTGCGCGAGGGGCGAATTCCCACAGACCTGGATCAGTTACCAAATGAGGTAAGGTGCTGTAGTCACTCATCTTCTGGAGTATTTAGAAAGAACTCGTGACGATGCTATGTGCCATAGATCCCGATCAGCGCCCTTCATGTTCCGAATCACTAGCCTACATTAAGCGAAATGCAAAGGACGATGTGCCCGAAAATCATGGGATCCGTGCTGAAAGCGATTTCGTCTAGGGATCTTTTGCGTTGGTTCCGATCATGCCATCAATTTTGTTATTCCCATTAGCTGAAATTTCCTAAACCGTATTTTTGCTTTCTGGCTGTTTTCGAATCTTCCCGGACTGAATTTTCTCGCATATAAATTTCATTGGCTTCTAGCAGCTTCGTATCGTTGTAGACCGGCTAACCTCGTGATATTGACCCCGTATTAACGTTCTAATGCCCTTTTCTGTAACGATTTAATAAAAACTTGCAAAGTCTTTACGGTTGGTAAAAGTAAAGACGCTTCTTCCCGTTGTATTAAAAAATTGGAGCAAAAAGGAAAAGTTGATCATTGCGATAAACCCACCCTCCTATAATGCAAAAGCGCCTTTTGTGTAAAACTAAACCTTTTACCTGAAATTGAGTTAATTCCGTGCGTGTATTCGATCTTATGGCTTTTCCGGGTCAGTTTCTGGTTATTGGTTATTTCTGGTGGTTTATGGTGCGTATTGGCCTTGAGATGACTGCACACATATCAGATTTTACAAAATCAGCTATTTTCGACATTAAATATAAGTTCTTGTTGTTAGGAAATAATTAGCATAGACTGGAACTGGTGATTCGACTATATAAAGGCACAGAAGACATTGTTTTTACTTTTTTGTCATGTGAATGCAAGAGAATTACACAAAAAAGAAGAATAAATGGGATCAAACGGGGCCAGGGTTGAAAAGTCGCGAAGTGGCTTTTCAACCCTGGTACTAACTAATTTCGCCTGTTAGAACTACGATTTTCTACGCTAGAACGCACTGTATAGTTAGAATGAGACAATTTAATGTAAATTGGAGCTAAAATTATCAGATTAACTATTTTGCTACTAATTTCAAATGTTTTTAATGGTGTTTTATACAATTTTTCGTTTATCGTCTTGAGTTGCCTGCTCTTCCATATTATCCAAACAGCTCCAAGTAGTTTAGTCAGTTCAGTCAGTTTCAATCCGTACTCGCCGTTCTCTCCGTCAGATGTTTTTGGTTGGGAGAATGGCCTCGAGCAAGAGGAGTCATTTCCGGCTCAGCACCCCAGCGGTAGTCTCGAGGCCGTGGCACCATCTTTCATATGGCCCCTGGGCCACCCGATTTTTGGTGAATACGTGTCGATTCTAAAGACACCAGATGGGCCTAGGTGCTTTGGTTGTCTAAATGAAGATTAGACCAATTTTCGGAGCTTTGAAAACATTATTTTAATTTTTTTGCAAGAAATTTTAGGAAATTCAGCCCCGATCTCGGAGCACACAGCAGGAGCACTCACTCACTCTCTCTCTCTCTCTCTCTCTCTTTCTCTTTCTCTCTCTCTCTCGCTCTCACTCTCTTTTGGCATCTCCTCCTCCCCGTTGGTTATTCATTTTGGAGGGTGAACCGGGGAGGAGGAGTTGACTCAAGAAATGTAGTCCCACTTTTTGAGGTTGACACGCGATTCGGGAGCGGGGGGCTGGCTTTTCGACTCTAGCATTCTAATGCGCAAACACGGCTTTTTGCGGTGGAGTCGATTATTTTCCTAAATTACCTCGACAAGATCCAACGTTTATTTCTCGGAGCTTTCCTGTCAACGGGGGGCTGCTTAATTTATAGAATTTTGTTGAATGCCTTTCTGTTAATAAAATAAATGAACAAATTCAGAGTAGCGTTAAGAATATGTCGGCATTATGACTGTCAGTATTTTTATCATAGGGATTCTGGTTGTCGGGATTCTTTCTGTCGATATTTTGGCTGTGGGCATTATGGATGTCGGTACTTTGACTGTCGGGATTATGCTGTAATTCGATTTTCCTACATTTTTGCCGTCAAAAAGACGACCTTTTAGAAATTTTCGTAATTTTATGCCGTTAACAATGTTTCGAAAAACGTCTTAATTTATCAATTCAAAGCCTAAGGAGCACCGGAAATCCCCCGATAACGCCAAAGCACCGCCAGCACCTGTTTTTACAGCTTTTCCAGCCCTTTTTTCACTTCCCAACCTTGGCAACTTTCCAAGAGACAAGATTTTTGCTGGCGAGGCGGTGATGTGGAAGAAGGTGGAAGAAGAATTTGCGGAAAAGGTCAGAGTCCATTGGCTAGAGGGGCCCTAGAGGGGCTTATAGGGCCAAAGGAGGGGCACAAACGTCCGGTGTGTGCAAACGGAATTCAATTTGCCTCTCTAAAGGGAATGAAGAAGAAAAAGAAAAAGAACAGATTGGGGGCCTCAAGATTGCCTTTTTCTACCTCCCCCCACCCTATTTATTTCACTAAAAAACCCGGTACACACCAAAAATCGGCCTTTGAATTTGGTCTACCAAAGAATTCGCATAGATTTTGTTGGCTCGCGACACGCAACGCGCCCGCTTGCCATTTTTCACATGTATTTATAGGCATTAATGCGTTTTTTTTGAGCGGAAAAGTTGGCACTAGTCTGCTAGCGGAGGAAGCTAATTTTTGTTTTTACGTCTATATTCACCTGTCAATAATAAATACAATCGATTTTTATAGGTTTTTTTGGTAGTTTAGATCGCTACGAAATCATAAAAATATTTTTTTTAATTCGAAAAATGCTTTTCGCTTTTTGCTTTGCTAGCAAATTTGCTTTTTTGGTCCTTTTTCACACATTTTTGATCAAAAATTCAAGATTTAACTCCTCTCTTTATCTAAAAATCCGCACCCACCCCCTGTTAACAGTCCAGTACCCAAACATGTAAAAAAATATGCAAGATCTCGAAAACCTTCGACTTTTCGGTCAAAAGTGCATGATAAATCAACAAAAACACTTTGAAATTGTAAATAAAACAAAAATTATCTGTTTTGATAATCAAGGTTATATAAAATTACATGCTAGCTCTCAGAAACTACTTAAAACAGTATAAAAATACCCTGAATTTGATAGGAATATTGGAAAGACGCTAATTTTTTTACCAGAAAGCCCTGAAAGATTTTAATGATTTTTTAACGCCTTGTCCGGCCTTTTAAAGAATCTCTGCTAGCTCGCCTTTTTCTATATATGCGTCTAAAAATGTATATTCTGTTTCTGGCTGAATTCCAAAAGCCCGATTTTCTCTTGAATCTCGATGTATCCATCAATCACACCTCTCCTCCTCGCCAATTCATGTCTCGTTTCCCCTCCCGATTGTCGCCCTAGGATTCTCATTCTTTTTCCTATTTTCGGAGATGTAAAAAATAGTCTCCGTTTGGTTATTTGAGATGCGGCATGCGGCCTTCGGCTCATCGGGTGGCACCGGGCATTTCTCTACAATCAGTACAGGATCGACAATTGCAGGTTCGAATGGTTTTTATTGACCCTGATTTATTCTTTTAAATCCTATTTCTTCGTTAAAAAGCAATAATTATACTTTGAGGTTCTTTTGCATTATCGGGGGGTGAAATTGGGTCCCATCGGTCGAGAATTGCCTGGTAAATGTCTTAACAACGTTTTTAGCAAATTTTACTTGATGTAACGTGGAAAATCTACCTAAAGACCGTAAAAATTTAAAATAATGGTCGCAAAACTAGTCGTAAAAACCAGTATAAACACTCCCTCGATTGATAGTAGAAAAATGGTCTCCCCCGATAATGCAAAAGCACCCAATTTGAGATCAACATAGTCGAGAACAGCACGAAAAATGATCCTCGGAGTCGGGATTTTTTTCAAAATTAAAGGTATAGCAGATAACAGTGTATGAACAATCCAAAATTCCCTAATCAAAAATTAAAAATGATAAAACCTACTAAATTCAAAGCCTTAGAAAATATTCACAATCCGAGGTAACCATTGCCGAAATCAGACTAGAAAGAAAGAAACTAGCCTAGGAATCGTATTTTAGAAGTAAAAATAAACAGGTTGACGAGTGGAATTTGTATAAAATGTATTCCTGATAATAATGAAAATTATAAAAATATAAATAATTTCAAAGTATTGAAACAAATAATGAAAGAAAAACAATGAAGCTGCCTTCCCCTTGGCCGTCAGCGGCTAGTGAGGGCACGCTGTGCGCTCTCTTCCCCTGGGCCACTCGTCCCCCATCTGGCCCACTCTCCCGACATATCCTCCCCTCTCCGTCCCCTCATAAACTTACCTGGCTGGGAGATTCCCGTGATCAAGAAGACGGGATCTCTATGGCGAGGCTTGGCCATTGCACTTTTGGCCGGGTTGACCTGTAAGGCAGCTCCGAGTTGGGGTTCGCCTACAGCTAAATTTTTGCGTGAGGGGCTGGGTTCGCGCGGCCCTGAAAATCTATAACTATAATAGAAATACCGTTTCTGTAGTTTTGCAAAGCATAAATAGTTTTTTTTTGAGGTCCTTCGGGTCTGGCCACCGGTCTACAACCCAACAGCTACTCCTCCTTCACAACCCACCACTACTCAACCACCACATCAGCAGCGCCGCCGACCAACCTGGCCGTCACCTTCCGTCCTCGGTCGGGTTTTTTAGCTTTTGCTTCTTCTTTAGTTCTTTAATATTCCATTTTGCGGGGAGGAAAATGTTTTCACATTTCTTTCACGATTTTCAACATAAAAACGTGCATAAATGCACGAAGAAGCTAGAAATTACCCAACTTTTGGAAAAGCCAATTTTATTTGATCGATTTCGTACTTTTCTATAGGTTTATTAGTTTCTATTTCACCTTTTTTCGATTTTTTTTTGCTATATCATTCTAAAGTGTATGAATGTATTTTCTAGCTATTTATTAAATACAAAAACGCCGAAAATAGGCAGTTTTGATGAAAAGTAAATTTTAATTACTTGAAGAACGTGATTTTCGGGATTCTAGAAAGTTTTTTGGTGTGTAACAAGAAGGAAAGACTAATTATTATTGTACTATCAGGTTTCTTTGGAAAATCTAATGATATTTTCCTCCCCGCCAAGTAGAACAGTACCCAATCATCGGTAAAGATTGTACGGTTAAAAATACAACATTTCTTTCCACCCCCGTTAAGCAACCTTTACCCAATTTTTATAATTTCTCACGTACGCAAAACCAATCTTCCGCTTCAACTCTTGTTTACAGCCACCTTTTTCCATGGGATTCCCTTTCCCATCCGCTTTATATTTTCGTTCCGTTCCTTCCGGAAAAAGATGCCTAATTGGGCTTTCGTTTTCCTATCCCTCCTCCCCCTCCATTTCGCTACCCTCACTTCCGTAAATAGGAAATACGTAACCCGAAAATTCGCCTTTTTTAGATATCTCTGCGCTCAGAATTTTGAGTAAATCTTCAAAAAACGCGCAGCGCTTGGCACCACTTTTGCATTCCAGAAATGGAGAAATTTTGCCGGAGAAATCCCGGGAAAATGATAGAGTATTAATGGATTCTGGCGCGGCACACATTGATGAAATACGATCCCAGGCTCAGCACAGCATTTGAGGGGGAGTGAAAGCTTTCTAGGAAATGAGCATCAAGTTTTCGTCCCCATTAGAGCTCCGTCTCCAGCGTTTTAGCATTTTTTTAGGGCGTAGCAAATTACCGAATTCCTATGGACAGCTCAAGCCTAGTTCGCTAATGAAATTAATCGCTTTTGCATTATCGGGGGGTAATTTTTCCTTAATTTGCTACGATAAAATCCTCCCCCGATAATGCAAAAGCTCCAAAAGCTTCTATCCTACTATATATAATCCTACTATATATAAAAAAATAGTGTTTGTGTGTGTGTGTGTATATTTGCATGCACTTCCGTTTGGATGTTCCGCACCTACAGCCTCAGGGAAGCATTTTTTTGGTAGGGAAGAAACGACATAGGGTAAAGAAGGGGCTGGAATCGACTGCACACACATAAAATTTTTGAAAAATTGCTATTTTCGATATTAAAATTAGGTTTTTGTAAAGGTTTCTGCCAACCTCTTTGTTAGGAAGCAATTAGCATACGCCGGAAGTGGAAATGGTTTATAAAAAGGAAGAGAGGGCGCGCTTTTCATTTTTCGGTGAGCGGTTTTGGCAAGGATTATGCAAAGTCAATAACTTCATCGATCCTAGACGGGGCCAGGGTTGAAAAGCCGCGAAGCGGTTTTTCAACCCTGGTTAGGCGCTAATTTTGTCAAGTGAAGCTTTAAAAAGGACGTCAACTTCCAAGTGAAATCGCTAAATTTACCTGCATTTCGTTATAACTTTTTTATTTTTGAAGGTTTGGCCTTGTGAATTCGGGTACCAAACGCTTTTTTGGTTGGGTCGCCTGGGTAAAAATTTGAAATCGATTCGATAAAGCCGGCTAAATTTCATCGACTTTCATAGGGATGTCATAGGGATTTCCTATTATCCCCACTAATAAGCTTTATCATTAAATATCAGATGCGCGGGATGAATTGCGTGCTGTTTGCCCGTGTGACCCTCGCCATTCATCCATCCGACCACCCTAATTTGGGCAATTTCCTAGCGGCTTCTCCTTGGTACCTCTCTGGCTGTCTCTCTCTCTCTCTCTCTCTCTCTCTCTCTCTCTCACTCTCTCTCGATCTTGACGACAACTCGAGACGACACCCTCTTGGCACACCCAGAAAATGGACACTGCTTTTTACCCAGCCATCTGGCCAACTAGCGTAGATAAATCAAGCTAATCTGCGGTTGTCCGCTGTTTTTTTTGGGATATTATCGTAGATTTACTGTAACTCTTTTATTCATAAAAATTTTGAAAACGCTTTTTAAAAATGTTTTGATGTTTTGTAGTAACTAAAAACGATTAAAAACACTTTAAAAATACCCTACAACACGCGAAAAATTTTAGGTAGGCATCTCAAATTCTTTCCCCCGCACCGCTAGCAGGCCAGTACCCCCCATTTTCAAAATGATTCTAGCTCGATTACGGCACGTTATTTTCTTACTTTCTACGTTAATTTATTTTTTTTAATAGTGTTGATGATAGAAAATTAACTAAATTCTTATAAAAACGTGTTTTTTTCAGCTCGTGGTCCGCCACGTACAACACCACGCGCGCGATGGAGGGCCGGAAGGGTGGTCATGATCGCATGCAAGGTATCCAATCGTTTTTGGACTTATTCTTTGCTTCTTGACCCCTCTCCCCCGATAATGCCAAAGAACCCAAGTTGAATCCCTTTAAATAAATCCCTAACTTCCAATATCATTTATTTAATGACGCCGCGCCAGAATTCTCTTATTAAATGCGATGCGGCGGGAGATATCTTTTCAGCAAAAATTATTTACCCGCCTTACCACTTCTATGATACAGGGTGTTCCAAAAAAAAAGGTCCAAGTTTGTCCCCGAATAACTCGAGAAGGAAACATATTTCACCGTGCGTTACCATGCCAGAATGCTTAAATATGTCAGGAATAGGGAAATAACTCAACTTGATTTTTTCGATTTTTGAGTACGCAACTGTACTATTGACGGTGGTTACGACCGAAAATTGTGCGTTCTTGAAAGGGTGGTGGGAAAATTCTGATTTTTGGCCGAAAAATAGTTGACATTTGTAGAAAGGTAATGGCCAAGTCTTAGAATTTTTCAAGCTCTAATTCTTTTTTTACAAACAAAACAAATTTCACTATTCGGCATTTTTTTACATTTTAATTCGCAACTCGCTTCAAATACGCTGCCCATGGCTGATTTTTTGCAGATGGTGTCTCCGAATGATAATCTTTAGCACAACACCAAATTTTACCTGATTCTATGGTATTTTAATATTGCTTGCTAAAACGTGCCCCAGAGGGATACTGTAGCTTTTGTTTTTCGCGTTTTTCTTTTTATTGTAAGCTGCGATTTCGCTAAAAATTTTACCATCGGTAAACACCAGTAAGCGGGGCCTATGAGCGAAAGATCGCGTAGTTCTAGCCATACACCTTCTTAAAATATGCAAAAAACTGATTTTTTAATTTAGCCACGGAAATTTTAAATATTTCGATGCATCGGACTAAAAACTACTATTATTTGTTTTCCTGAAAGATTGAAACGTTTCTATGGTGAAAAGAACGAGAAAACGGCGATTTTCTGTTTTCTACAGTAACCCGCCTGGAGCGCGTTTTAGCATGCCAAGACAAAATTCCATAAAGTGACGGTTTTTCGATTCTAGACTGTTCTCTGGGTGAATGTAAGAGCACCTACAAAAAATTACTTGATTCCTGTGGCAAATGACAAAGTTATGAAGGAAAGAGGAAAACCCCCTTCGTGCCCCGATTTTGGACCCGACGCCCTGGCTCCAAAATCGAATTTTTGAAAATGAAAAAGGCACCGGGATTTGGTGGATACAATTAAAGCACGTATCGAACTGTGCATGAGAGCGAAATTCTGGAATGATCTGGATGAAGTTAATGGTTAATTTTGATTTAAAACCCAAAATTAACGTTTTTGGGAAGCCGACTTTGGGGTGCTCTTCTAAATTCGTTTGCCATGAAAAGGATTGGTATTTGCATGGGTTCTAGTTGATTACCCAAGCTTGATCTATGCCAGAAAAGTCGGGCCTACTAAACCCTCGAGAATTTTTTTACGTCGCCTCGAATTCGGGTTTATTTTGACTCTTCATGAATTTATTTTGAAATATCGGATGGCCCAATAAATTTGTAGAGATAATCTTAGAATGCGCCCATTAAGCGGTATTGAATAAAAGTATGACAATAATTCTAGCCGCGCAAATGAATTTTATAGACTGGCACGAAGGTCTGCAAAATAGCACGAACCAACCGTTTTGGAGGCGCTAAAAGGCAACCTTCCAAAGGGGTACGGTAGCTAGAAATTGTGTAGATGATAGATGGACGCCAGTTCTACAGAACGAAGCAAAGCAAACACCGAAATTCTATCTGCAATTTTAGAAATATTTTTCCAAAGTTCAGTTTCGTGACCTCGAAAGAATCCATGACCAGGGGGTCGTCAAAAAACTCAAAAATCCGCGATTTTGAAAATTTTTTTTGATATTTTTGTGGGATTGTATCGAGCCTATAGACATGCTAAAACAGCTTATTTTGAGGTTTCCACCATAGGTTTTTGTAATATTCGAAATTTACGAAATTTCTCCATATTAAATTTGAGCACGCTATAACTTGCCAACCTGACCTTCAAAAATTCTAAAATTCCGGATGTGCGTAGGGGCGATCTTGAGGTACCTACACTGTAAAAATTGGAAGTGTTCGACCACCAGCAATCCAAAAAAATGCAAACGAAGTTTTGCCGGAACGCACAGTTTTCGGGTGTCATTTGTATGGGTACGTCGCTAAAAATCGAAAAAATCAAGTTGAGTTATTTCCCTATTCCTGACATATTTAAGCATTCTGGCATGGTAACGCACGGTGAAATATGTTTCCTTCTCGAGTTATTCGGGGACAAACTTGGACCTTTTTTTTTTGGAACACCCTGTATTTCCCACCCCCGTTATTTTTGCTAGCATATTTGGGGTCACGCGATAGGATGCTAGAAGGGAGAGAGAGAGAGAGAGAGAGAGATAGCGAGAGAGGGAGAGAGATAGAAGAAGAAGATCCATGCTCGAATCCATCCCTCTAATCATGGCCTTTCATTTCGAATATCCCCTCCACCAGAATTCCAAAATCATGGATTTTTCGCGGGAAATGCCTGATCGTCGGCTGAGGGGTTTTATTGGGGGTTTGAAGAGGGTGGGTAAATTTTAGGCAGTTTTTATCTAACTAATTAATTACCTTAATTTTTCGGCATTTTCTACTGTGTCGGCATTTTTTCGTTATTTTCTTCGACGCCATTTGATAAAACATTACAAAACAGACTAGTTTTTTCATTTACGGTTTAGGAATAATTTGATAAAAAATTTTATAGCAAAAAAAAACAAAACTATTTTTTAGGAAATGAGGTTGAGAAGCAGATTTTCGGATTTTTTCGACATTTTCGAGGTTCTTCGAGATCTCGGCTTACGAAACTAAATTAAAAATAAATTGTTTAATTAAAATAGCTACACTAAATAATTAAATAGATAAATTAATAAAATAATTGTGATACCTTTACAGGTGTTTTCGTTGGTGTCTCACAAATGGGATCGGCGCCCACCGAGCTCGTCAAGCGGGGACTCCTAGAGTCACACGGCCCAGAGATCCTCCACCAGCACCTGGTAAGGGTTTTAAAGGCACCGGGAAGCCGTTAGATAAATGATCAGTGAAAATGTATAGAAAATGCTTATAACTATCTTTATACTTATTTTGTAAATTAAAATATTATTTGCCCTGATTTATAAATCATTGATATCAATTTTAGCCGTCGACAGCCATGCCCAGTGTATCGCAATATCAGCAATCCTCCACGAGACGGTATTCACCCCCTGTCTCATTCCCTTTAAAACAGACTTCAGATTGGCATTTGGCGGCGTGGGAACGGACAGTAATGAGAGAATGAAGAAACAACTAGATTTTTACAAGAATACCACACTTACAAATCTCAGCAAGGTAATATTATTTAAGTTAATAAAATTTAAACTAGCATTTATCAAATTATGATGTAAAAGTTATACTAAAAGCTAATATTAATAGTAAAGGAATTCATATTAATAAAATTAAATAATTAAATTTAAGAAATTAATACATTTTCCAGCTATTCTGCGCGATCGTCCTCGTCACAGCATTTTTCCTTGTCATGTCGCGATCCTTCAATTTCGAGGCCCATTTCCCGGATGGTATCTGGGGAGGAACAAGGCATGGCCGACACTTCGCAACACTACAAAACAACTCCATATTACCGTATTCTGTGCAACCCGCCTAGCCCTCAAAGACGTATTTATCCATCCTAAAATTTGCCCCCGATTCCCATTGCAAAATGTGAATTTTTCTAATAATAAATATACTATTGCATATGACTTTTGTAACCCGGATGAATCAACCGATTACGCCATGATAACATGGTGTCAAGCGGAGCTTAGTGTACCGCTTCGAAATGTGCTAAGAAACAGCCAATTTTATGTGCACGTTTAGCACACGTAAAAGGCGTTTTACTTATATGCTAATAAGTGCATCTTTAACATCTGCCAAATACAAAGAGAGCAAAAACAACAATGAACAACTGGGGAAATAGCGGGGGAGGAAAATTACTTATATGTTAACAAATGCCAAATACGAAGAGAGCGAAACAACAATCGACCACTGGGGGAAATAGCGGGGGGGAACAATAATCTAGCAGTTAAGAGATAGTAATGGGCCGTATTTGGAGTGGGAATAATTGCGAGTGACGGGACCTGAGACATGGGATGACAAGATAACAACTGGCAAAGCGTCTAGAAACGGAGGTGCGGTTTGTTCTTGGCGACATGGCGGTCGACCATCTCCCAAAAGCACTGAAGACGGGCACGGTCAAGATGACGTTTGTAGGGGGAGAGGGCCAGCACTTTGATCTGCAAAAAAAAATCGGGTTAAAAGTATTTAAAGTTAGATTTCAAACGATTTTCCGAGCTTTGCTAAGAGCACAACCATGTCGATTATCTGAATAAATCGGATTTTTGCCAATAATCTAATGGTTGAAAAGTTTACGAGTCTAAGTGTTGTGGTGCTAGCTTGCTAGACCACAATAGATCCTCTTTCCCGGCTGTCCCTCCTATCCAGTGGGTAAGCCACCGGCGCGCGCCCCCCTGCGGTCGCGTCGCGTGCGCCACTTCCCGCCTAAGACTAGATTGTATTATCTCGTGGCGGGTCCACTTATCGGCACAGACTAGCTCTGTTGCCGATCCTCCTGCCACCACTTTATGTAGATAAACAGTTGTTCGATAACTGTACGTTTGTGCGCATTCCACTTCATTCCAAGAACACAACACTGGCGATCAGGATCATCAAGGACTCACGCAAGAACAAGGAATTCCAAGCCAAGAAGCCACTCGTGCCCGAGGAACGTGATCAAGGATGAAGGAAGAAGGTGAAGAAGCGCGAGAAGTCAAGTCAAGCCGACGAGACAAGGACCAAGAAAGCGACAAGGTCAAGGAGAGCGACAAGGTCGAGGTCAGGGACATCTACATGGTTGGCAAGCGACAAGGAAGAAGGCATGGCGAGAAGATCAAGAAGCAGAGCGTGCAGATGATGGCCATCGATGGATGATGTGCCGGTGCCGCTCGTGCAGGATCAATTGAAAGGGAGGTGTTTTGTTCCCCTTTTTGCCCCCACATTTCCGGGTGGCACGCTGCCGTTGTCGAAGAAGGAGGAGGGTGCAAGCGCAAAAAGAGGTGCCCGGCGTCCGGCCGCCGTTTTGCCCCAAGGACCGCCCAGAAGCCGCGAAGGTTGCAGAAGAAGAAAGAAGTTGGTTAGTCCTCACCCACGAAAGGACCGAAGGAGCGTGCTGAAGCTGGCGGATCATCGATGGATGAAGGGCCGCTGGCGCTGCCATGGACCGAAGGAGCGTGCTGATGCTGGCGGATCATTGATGAATGAAGGGCCGCTGCCGCTGCCATGGACCGAAGGAGGTGCGCGTGTCAAGCCCAAGGCCGCGTCTACAAGTGAAGCCGAAGAAGGAAAGAAGGATGATGGCCACGTCGTGTTCGTGCGCGTGTTCAAGGTTGAGGGAAGGAAGATTGCCACGTCGGGTTCGTGTGCGTCGTAAGAAGAAAATAAGCAAAAATAAGTGTCATCTTATTTTTTGGTGTGTATTTCCATATACTGTAAATCCGGCTAAGCCTAATTTGTCTCTCCTGTCCCAATTTCTCCTAGGAACTTGTACTTTGTTGTTGTACAAGGGGAGGTGTTGTGGTGCTAGCTTGCTAGACCACAATAGATCCTCTTTCCCGGCTGTCCCTCCTATCCAGTGGGTAAGCCACCGGCGCGCGCCCCCTGCGGTCGCGTCGCGTGCGCCACTTCCCGCCTAAGACTAGATTGTATTATCTCGTGGCGGGTCCACTTATCGGCACAGACTAGCTCTGTTGCCGATCCTCCTGCCACCATTTATGTAGATAAACAGTTGTTCGATAACTGTACGTTTGTGCGCATTCCACTTCATTCCAAGAACACAACACTAAGTATTATTACGCAATCATTAAAAACAATTAAACAGATTCAAATGACCTAACTTAACACCTAATTTTTAACTCATTCCAATGTCA